GCAGTGTGTGTGTGTGTGTGTGTGTGTGTGTGTGTGTGTGTGTGTGTGTGTGTGTGTGTGTGTGTGTGTGTGTGTGTGTGTGTGTGTGTGTGTGCGTGTGTGTGTGTGTGTGTGTGTGTGTGTGTGTGTGTGTGTGTGTGTGTGTGTGTGTGTGTGTGTGTGTGTGTGTGTGTGTGTGTGTGTGCGCATGCACGCACTGCCTTCCATTGAGTGTTTTCAGAGTCACCCTACACTCACTGGGAGTCCTTTAGGTCCTCAGAAGCTGATGCAGCTCATTTTGCTGCTGCGTTTTAATGAAATCGGTACAACCTGATGTGTATTTACTTCCACAGCATGTACTGAAGTATTTGCACTGTTTTCTTGTGTAAACATCCAAAGTAATGTTTAACATCAACGTGCTATTGACCACTAATCCTCTTACTAGTTTACGTGTTTTCATTTTTCTTATTGCAGTTTTATTTGCAGCTCTTTTTTAAAATGTATTTACTGAAAACTATTAACACGTCATACTGTAGATGATTTAATCTCATTTTGTCTTAAAGTGCCTCAAAACTTTACCCTTTGTTCTTACAGTAAACTTTTGATGCACATGAGCACAGTGAAAAATGTCCTCACTGTGTGTAAATACTCCAAATTTAGCTCAGCGGGGCTTAATATAGACACTGAACGAGTGCGGCAGAAAGACATTATGTAATGATAGTGAGATTGTTGCGTGGGCATGAAAAGCTATTTTCAGCTCGCAGAGATGAGGTGGGTTAAGATTTGAAAACACGGGAGGGATGCCATGTCTTTTCCAGGCTTCGTTCTACATGTTTGTCTGTGTGATTGTTTTAATTGGGTTATATAATGCATGCGTCCTGTCCTTCGCTCTTTTCTTATTTTCATGTGTTTAAAAGTGTCACGTCCAGAGATGGAGTGTATATTTATTAGTGGATGGCTTGAGCCTGGACAAAAACTGCTGAGTTGTTGGATGTTTCTCAAGGAAATGTGTCTCAAGTTTTTGTGGCGAACTAAAAAGATGAAAAACTTTCTGTGAAGGATTTTAGTGACGTCACTAACGTCTCCTCAACCACAGCTAAAACAGCTGCCATCTTCATTTCATTTACCTTTATTTATACAGGTAGTCTCATTGAGTCACGAGAACTCATTTTCAAGAGAGACCTGTTTAGGGAGCAGATGGGGGGTTGAGGGCCTTGATCAGGGGCCCAGAGTGGGGCGAATGAGGGTGGAGGCAGATGTGGGTGTTCCACCTTTTCCACCCACATTTTGATGTTGACGATACCAGGAGTTGAACCTGTGACTTTCTGATCACAGGCCCATCTTCTAACCTCTGCGCCACCACTCCCCCAGCTGCCATTGCTGAAGCTAAGTTGTTATTGTTATTATTTTGTTCAGATTCACAATTAATGACTGATTTTTATTATTTTTATTCATTTTTGCTTACTCTTAGTTTAGTTTAGTTTAGTTTAGTTTGCAAAATTAAAATACCGATCAAAGATATTAAGAAAAAAAAACAATAACGGTGCAGGAAGAGACAAAAGTCCATTGGACTTGTATAAAGCCTCGACCCAAATAGTATAGAATACAATCATAAATTTAGGAATACAGTCATACAGAAAAAAAAACACACATCTATAAAGTATGAACGTAAATTTGAATAAAATATGCAACAATGATTTGGTCACTGATTTGACATGATTTGAAACTTTGGTCAGTTTGAAGGTATGTATCGGCCTTTGTAGGTTTTTCTTCTTTAACTTTAATTTTCTTTTTTCTTTTATCTTTTGTCTTTCGGTGGCAGCTGTGGCTGAGTGGTTAGAGCAGTCGCCCTCCAATGGG